GAGGGAGGGAAGGAGAGAGAGAGAGAGTGAGAAGGAAGAAAGAAGTAATAATATTGTTAAATTATTAATTAAATATTGTTAAATATTATCGATATTTACCATATTATAAATAAGTATTTTTAAATATTATTAATAGCTTTAATTATTTTAGTTATTTAATTTTATTAATGTTATATTTTACAAAGAGGAAAAAATATAATATAAAATAATTTATTATTATTATATAATTATTTATTACTTATTACTTAATAACTGAATTATTACATTTATAATTAATTAATTAATAAAAATTGTAATTAATTAATAAATAAAGTATTAAATAATTGATAATGATGATGATGATGATTATGATTATGATGATGATTATTTTGATGATGATAATAATCAAAAGAGAAATTATTAAGAAAAATTAATTTTTTGAGAATTAGAAAATAATAATTTTGTTTAATATTTCAAAAGAGAAATAAATTTTATGTGAATTAAAGTTATATATAGTCTTGAACAATTTTAGAAGAATTACAACGTCAACGTCGTGAAAGGAATGCAGAGAATCAGCGTCGTCGTCGTGAGATTGCGAAAACAATCGCTAATAATAGTAATATAAATTCTATGAATGTTGCACCACTTTATCGAAATTGTGCAGAAAGTCAATCTCGTTATCGATCACGACAGAAAAATCAGCCTCGTTTAAATAATAATAATACAATGTTAATTAATAATGTTATTGAATATTATATTGGTTCTATGGACGTGTCTTGTGTTCATTGCAATGCAAAACATTTTGCATCTGAAAGAATATCTAATAGGGGAAATTCTTTTCACGATTGCTGTAATCATGGCGCAGTGTATTTGCAACCATTACCTGAACTTCCTCAATTTATTCGTAGTTTATTCGATGGTAGTCATATAAAATCTAATGATTTTTTCCAACATATTCGTAGTTATAATAGTTCGTTTTCATTTGCATCATTTAACGCTAATTTAATTAACTTTCAAGATAGAGGACCTGGTCCATATTGTTTTAAAATACAAGGTGCAAATTTATTATCAAATTAATACAGCATTATATGCTGCACAAAATGAAAGTCCTTCTTTTGGTCAACTTTTTATTGTGGATTCAAATGAAGCGATAGATCATCGTCTTAATCAAAATTCATATTTAGATTTTGAAAATGCACAAAATCTTGAACATATAATGCGGGAAATTAATGTATTTGCTCAATCTTATCAAATGATGGGTGAGGAATTAGAAAATCAACGGCGTTTAGAAATGGAATCTGGTGAATTATTACCGGAATTACAATTATTATTTACTTTAAGGCCAGGTATGGATAGACGTCGATATAATGCTCAGAAAACTAATGAAATAGCTGCTGTTTTTATACAACTGCTGATGAAGAAATTCCAGAATCATACGTTACAATACGTAATAGAAATATTAAAATTTTACAAAAAGTTAGTATTATGGACCCAAATGTTGAACCATGGATATATCCATTGTTTTATTCATATGGCAATCAAGGATGGCATCGTAATTTAACAAAATTAAATAGTGATAGACGAATAACTAGAGGACAGTATATTAAATATCGTATGGGTAATCAGGATGAATTTAATGTTTTTTTATTAGGACGTCGCTTATTTCAGCAGTGGTTGGTAGACAGTTATGTAAAAATTGAAAAAGATAGAATTGATTATTGCAAAAATCATCAAAAAGAATTACGTACTGAAACATATCAAGGTTTAAAAGATTATATACAAACTATGGCGAATAATTTAAATGCTCGTATTGGAAAAATGGTTGTACTTCCTTCTACATTTATTGGATCGCCGCGTAATATGTTACAAAATTATCAAGATGCAATGGCAATTGTTAGTAAATTTGGTAAGCCAGATCTTTTCATTACCATGACTTGCAATCCAAAATGGCGTGAAATCGAAGAAAATCTCTTCCCCGGTCAACAAGCTTCTGATAGACCTGACTTAAATCAAGTTACTATGTTAATAGATTATTTCTCATTGAACTTACGCGATGAAGAAGCAAGACAATATTTATATAGAAATTTCACGCTATTATACATTTAAAAAAGAGAAAATTAATGGTAGAAATGTATTGCGTTGGGTTAAACGTAAAGGTCATTATAATTGTATAGGACGAATATATTCTGTTAGTCCAGCACAAACTACGAATTATATCATTTACGGTTATTATTGCTTACAGTAAAGGGGGCTACAAGTTTTAATGATTTGAGAACTGTAAATGGAGAATTTTGTCAATCATTTTCTGCGGCATGTTTGGCGTTAGGTTTAATCGAAGATGATGATGAATGGAAACGAGCTATGAACGAAGCTATTGGATGGATGATGCCTCGACAACTTCGTAGATTATTTATACGTATATTATTACATTGTCAGCCACTACATCCTGAAGAGTTATGGGAAAATTTTAAAGTAGCAATGTCTGAGGATTACATTCGACATTTTGGTATGTTACAAGGAGAAAATAAAGCTTATGCGCAAATTAATAGTATGCTTTGTGCGGAAGGTAAAAATCTTGCTGATTATCCACAAATGGAACAGTTAATAGAAAATAGCGGAGAGGAGGATTACATGACTCTTGAAGAAACTATGGAAATAGGCACTAAACAATACAAACAATTAAATGATAAGCAAAAAGAGATAGTCGATCTTTTATTAAATAGATTAGATAATAATAATAATCATAATAATCATTGTTTTTATATTGATAGTCCGGGTGGATCATAATGGATAAAACATTTATATACACAACTATCTATTATTTAGCTAGAATTAGAAATAAACGCGTGTGCACAATGGCTTTTACGGGCATTGCAGCGACATTACTACCTACTGGAAAAACAGTTCATAAGACATTTGGATTATCGGTTCCATTATTTGCTGATTCATCATCTGCTATTAAAATCCAGTCAAAAGAAGCTCAATATTTGAAGAAAACTGATATTTATATTTGGGATGAAACACCAATGGCACCACGATATGCTTTAGAGATTATGGATAGAACATTGCGTGATATTATGAATAATGATTTTCCTTTTGGTGGAAAAATTGTTTTATTAAGTGGTGATCTCAGACAACTTTTGCCTATTAAAATGCATGCTACTCGAAGTGAAATTGTGAATCTTTCTATTAAATTTAGTTCTACTTGGAGACATTTCGTAAAATTTTCTTTAACACAAAATATGCGAGTTCTCCCAGAAGAAATTGAATTTGCTCAATTTTTATTGGATATGGGAAATGGCATATTAAATGATTTTAATGATAATATACAAATTCCTGAAAGTTGTGTAGCGCCTATTAATGCTGATATTGTGGAAGATATATATGGTGATTTAATACGAAAAAAGGAGTTTGGTAAAGTAGCTAAATGTGCGATACTTTCTGCAAGAAATGTTGATGTAGACGAAATCAATAAAAAGGTTGTTGAATTATTAGATATAGCTGATGAACGAATTTATACAAGTGTAGACAGCGCTGTAAATGATGATAATGGTGATATCGGTGAAGCTTTGTTACCAGAATATTTAAATAGTTTATCTCCACCATCTCTTCCTCCTCATGAATTGCGTTTAAGACCAAATTCTATCATTATATTGATTAGAAATCTTAGTATTAATGAAGGTCTATGTAATGGTACTAGATTAATGGTTATAGAGCTTGCAGATCATTTATTGAAGTGTAAGATTTTAACTGGTGACAAAGCAGAAGACATCGTTTTTTTATATCGTATAACATTATATTGCGAAAATATATATCCTTTTACTTTTTCCAGAAAACAATTTCCAATAAAATTAGCTTTTGCTATGACAATTAACAAATCACAAGGACAAACGTTTGATAGAATCGGTCCAGATCTTCGTAAAGATGTTTTTAATCATGGGCAACTTTATGTTGCTTTTTCGCGAGTTCGTTCTTTGCAAGCATTAGAAGTTTATCTTGGTAATCAACGAAATAATAGATACGTTAAAAATTATGTATACAAAGAAATATATATTTAACTTTCTGATTTTTGAATCATTCTCTTTATTTTTTTTTCTCTCTAATATGTAATATGACGGAAAAGATATATTTATATAAAAAATAAATTATATGGTTTTATTAAAACAATTAGACAATTTTTCGTAGTTTTCCACTTCTCACTTTTCAATTTCGTACCGTTGATAACAACAAATTCCAAATAATAAACATTTGTAATTTTGTTAAGTTCTTGTTTAAATTGCAAAATTCAAAAGACAAAAAGTTTGATCAATAATTGTTACTCTGAATGTAGTCAAATATATTCAATAAATATATTCGATTATTTATGAATGTAACGGAAATCAAAAAGAATCAGAACAAGAAATATATATTGTTGCGTTCCTGCGAGTCGTCTGTGGTAGTTAAGTTGCTCCCGTCTCTAAGAGATCATCTCCAAACACGTCGCTAAGGGTTGTTGTAAAACAACGGCGGACATAATTCCTAAGTTAAATAACCATTTGGAACTACAACAATAAGCAATTAGCATTAGAACAATAGGCATAATGCAGAAATAGATGCGGTACTTAATTATTAGTTAAAATATGGTTTTGAAAAATGACGGGACGTCACAGCCGTGCTTTGCAATTTTTATATTTGCCTGTAACAAAAACTTGAATACGAGATAGATACGTCATATAGCGGTAAACGAAAGAACTATAACTTAATATAACATGTCTTAAGATTATCTGTGATTCTGCTATTATTTTATGACAACAGATGATGCTGTGTTTCTGTTGTATTTTTGCTGTTATCTTTTGAGATGGTAACGCATGCTTAATTATTGCAGCATTTCTGCCATTACGCCATACTTGCAGATGAACTCGATTTCTGACGATATTCTATCGACGTAACATGATCCCAGCAAACACGAGTATATAACTGTTATATTGTCATAATGAAACGAAATGTAACACGCAATATAACACGAATGTACTAGGTTATATACACGTTAGTAGTAATTTCCTACTCATATAAATTACAGTTATATAACGTTAATGTAACACATAAGTAACATGTTATATGATTATACAGTCATGTAATGCTCTCGGATGGTCCGTTGAGTCTGTTTCTATTCACTGCACTTCCTATACTATAAGTTGCACTTGTCACATCTTCATCTTTTTTTCGCCAAGTTACAAAACCACTCACGTAGCAAACTGAAGTCACAATGACGATAAATTTTGGTTACAAAATGACCAATTAGACATCCTAAGTTAGGTCTCATGATATCCGAAAATGACGTTGATATGTCACATCCACGGGACATCATTTTCTGACGTTTGTTTGACGACAAAATTAAGACCAATTCCTTCTGAGTGACTTTCAGAAAGTTTTAGCCGCCGCTCGTTTTTTATTAAAAAGTTATTAACTAAAATAGTACTAATACATTTTCATCTTGAACACATTATTTCGCCACGAACAATTTTCTTCTTACACAAAAAATTCCACAAAGAATCAAAATTGTATGTCAAATTGATAAATTCGTGCAAATGCATGTTGAAAATTAAGGAAATCTTGAAATTATCCAACTGACTGATACACGACTATATAACATACTGAGACTGGTGATGTAGATACGTGTTATATACAAACATTCATTACATTCCCAAACACTGATTTGTTTTGATTTCTTTTGATATTCTTACTTAGTATGTTACTCACTATTGTTGTTTATATGGCAGTCGGCATGAATTACCAAGCTTATATATTTTAAAGATAGAGAAAAATTAAATTAGAAATAGGTTTGGGTTAGGTTATTTCTTCCGGAAGTGGTGCCCCCCGTAGGAGGGGCCGCAACCCACTGTTTTATGCATACACTTTTTAATGCGAAGTGAGGTTCCACATGGGTTTACAACTTTCCACGCGAAGCGAGGTTCAACGCAAACCAATGTGTCTAGTTCTTTGATAGTGGAGCCCCTCCGTAGGGGAGGCGGAACCTATTGTGTTCATGCATACACTTTTTAAAGCAAAGTGAGATTCTACATGGGTTTAGTTAATAACTTTTTAATAAAAAACAAGCTAAACCTTCTAAACGGCTAAAACCTTCTGAAGGTCACTCAGGAGGGTGACCTTGACAACATATGTCAAGGTCAAGGTCGTCAGGGCTGCATCCCCTAAACGTCACTTTTACCCGCTAATTCGTTCGTTTACCGCTATGCGGCGCGCGTCGCGTTATTTATCCCGCATTTAAATTTTAGTCATGATGATTATATAAAGCTTGCAAAAAGCGGCTAGTAAGATTAAAGATATAATAACTATTTTTATCAGTTTAATATGTTTAATACAACCCCAACATAGGGAATTCAAATATTGAACTGATTGTTCAGAAATCGGACAGATAAATGTCCGAAAAAGTTAAAATTATCCGTTTATTGTCTACTCAAAATGTAAAATAGAGTCTAATATCTACATAAATAAAATTTTAATTTTTATGAATAAATTATTTAATCGTTATCAATTTCTAAACTTGTAAATTATTTAAATTTAATTATTTATATATGTTACCAAGTATTTTGTCAAAATAAAATAGCGATATGTTAATTAGACAACAGAAAATTGTTTAATTGTTTAATAGCTTCCATTTTTATGTAAAACCAAAAATTTGATAATAATTTTTTTAATATGCAAGATATTTCAAATTTTAATAAACTTTGAGAATATATAAAGACATCCAAGAAAGACGAGAAAAAACTGTTGTAATTGCGTAAATCAACAATTTTTTTGCATCCAGATATCCGAATATTTTGCATGTAAACAGATTGTGAATTTACACAATTGCAATGAATTTTTTCTTATCTCTCTTGGATATTCTCAAAGTTTATCTATTAAATTTGAAACATTCTGCATATTTGTAGCAACGCGTTTCAATATTGCAAATACATTGCATCGTAACATTACTGTAGTCTTATAATATTTCTAAAGGCGGACATTTCAACATTGCCGCAGGCTTGCAATAACATTGCAGAAACATTTCGCAACTTGCATGCAATATTACAATGTTTCAATGTAAGGTCTATGCAACGTTTCTGCAATCTTTCGGTGCTGTATGGATATTATCATTATTATTATTATTATGTGAGAATAATAAAGAGAAAATAAAAGCAAAGTTTCCAGATAATCTAATTTTTGAGTTTTATAATAAACTCTGACATATGTTTAACATTCTCGCCTCTAGTTATTACGACGTATACTTCTTAAGGATAAGGTAAAAGTTACTACGAAATGTTTTACACAATATATTTTTTTATTTTATATAATGCCATATTTTTTCCTAAAAATTATTACAATCGCTATTATGTAGAGAATATATTTATAATATACAAGTATATATTTATATACAGGGTGTAACTGAAAAAACATATATGGAACACACTATCAGATACAGGACAATAATCTAAATCGAAAAGTTCTGAACCATTTTTTGTTCTGAGTTTTCTTGTTGTTGTTATACGATGTTAAAGTTAGCTAATCAGCGCCTATCTACAGGGGAAAGCAGAGAAGATACGGCGGGGTTCGGAGTTCGAAGTAGCGAGATGACTTTCCGCTGTATAGACAAGCGCTGATTAGCTAACTTTAACATTGTATAACAACGAAAAGAAAGCTCACATCAAAAAATGGTTTAGGACTTTTCGATTTGTATTATTGTCCTGTAGTTAATGGCGTGCTCCATATATGTTTTTCAGTTATACCCTGTATATGCGTGTAATGTATATACAGGGTGTTAGAAAAGTCTGGAAACGGTCAAATATCTCGTAAACAATGCATTTTAGAAAAAAATGTTTATACATATACGCTTATATCTTGATATTGATTCCATTGATTCCATTTATGTATAATTATTTGTATATTTATTTCGATATACATCACTTTCTTACGTCGGTTACTTTAAAATCTAAACGTCTATAATTACATTAAAATATTTTTTTATGTTCAAACTATATCACAGTTGTGTTTGAGGGAAAAAGACAGAGATTTAAAGAAAGGAAGAAAGCCATTCAACTAATCGAAACTTGAGCGAAGTCCATTCAGTAAGATTGGCCGCGTTCAGCAGAGAAAACCGCTCAGTAGCAATCGAACGCGATTGAACCAATTTGAAAAAAAGTAAGAACCTTACTTTTAGAACCAACAAATCAACATTGAGTTATGACAAGACGATAACTAAGCGCTTTCTCTGCTGAACGCGGACATTATGAAATACATAGTAAACACAAACCGTTAGCTATAACAAATGATAAACTTAAAAATGACCGAATTGTCAAAATGTATCGAGTCGTTTAACCCTTTGTACTTCGCACATTTTCGTGCAACGTTTATTATTCCGCACGCTGTTGTGCAAATTATTTTATTTATATGTTATTATTAATTTTATGTATACAGGGTGTCCCAAAGCACCCTTGACAACGCTCGTGAGCACGTAGAGCACAGTAAACTGAACAGAAAAGTCCTGTACCATTTTTTTCTATAACGCTTAATAAAGGAGTTATTATTGAATAAAGTCTGGTCAATCAGCGCCGACTTTTAGCCGGACGCACGTCAGTGAGCCGCC